CTTGTATGTTTGCAGTAATGACTGTATCCTACAAATACTGCAAACTCCCGTGCATATGCTACTCTATCTGCTGCTACTCTTTGAGGATGTCTCTGATGACGAATCCGCGGCGGATCTCGAAACGTCAGGCGAAAAAATAACATTGTCCCAGCGATCGAGTTATCTTCTTCTCAAGACCGCTGTTATTGAAAATAGGACCTGTGCTCCGTCTTCTTCTGTGGCCGTTTGTTACTGGGTCTTGTCAAGTCAAGTTAATTATGGGAAATATAGGCAAACGTCCTTGAACTCCCTATTGGTACACAGTAATGAAGTAATGCATCGGTACAGCCGAACATTTCAACGGAGGTCGTGTACATAATTGTAAGCGCCTACTCATTTATTACAAGTCATTCAACCACACTTGACGATGTCAGTTAACACGAGGCAGCAGGTGTAACCGAGCAAAAATGAGGAGACATTGAAAAACAAACTGCAAAGGAATTGCTCAGAATTCAAAAGATGGAATGTCATTTTTGGAATTTTTAGGGGAAGAACTGTCGCTCGTGGGAGGAACGTATGTGCAAGTGAGGACCGGCATACTGTTGAGAATGTTGACGCAAGCCAGGGGAAGCGATCGCGTTTAATATATTTTTCCGAAGGGTCACACGAGAAGCAGGAGACCGCAGTATCACTAGAATAGCCGGAAGAGCAGGAGATAAGACCATGATACGCCCTTTCTGCTTGCCTCATGCTATCTTTCTGTTTTTGTCTCTACAGCAATATGCCCTGGAGGACGATGAAGACTTAGATAACCCCGAAGGGCCTGGGAGCCTGACGGCGACGTTGACTACGCGAAACGAGGATTTCTATGAGGGTCTTCCAGGCGACCCACGAAAAGGGCACCGGCGTTCTCCTTTTCGGCGCCACAGTGCTCCTGCGCGTCTCTGTTCCGCGGGAGCGTTTGACATGGAGGTATTTGGCCACCCGGACGGCCTCCTCTTGGTGCGTTGTCTTCATCCAATATATTAGTTTTGCCTCTTTCTGTCCTTGTTCTAAAGTGGGTTGAATACGACATATATCTCCAGGTTTTCCATTGACTGTTAAATTACCAAACCCCAAAGGCTACACTCTTTGAGGGGCAACTTAACGACAAAATTATCAGTATCAATGGTCGTGTGATAGGGCCTTTAAAGGTTCGTGTCTTTTCTCCCCCAATATAATGAACGAAGCATTTAACTCTGCCAAATCTTTAACAACCAAGGCTAGCCTAGTAGCCCGTCCGGGGGATCCTATGTGACTACTTAGGAGATCCTGCCTGGCAGTTAGCTTAGTGCGTCCGTACTGGTGGATTCCATATGCGCAGTAAAGCTGGGCAATCAAATCGACCCAAATGTGGTTAAATTCACGGCGCACGGTGAGCCTCTTAGCTCAATGATAGAGCCTTGACTGCGCAGAAGCCAGCCCTGCTGTGTGGGTTTATCTCAGGGGGTTAAGCAAGTTAAACTCTAGCAACTGCGATCTTCAGACCACGATTACTTAGTAGAGAAGAAGTCAGTAGAGGCTAGTAGTAGGAACACCATATTGTGTACACAGAGGGACGGAGAATAGATGGAAAGAGATTTGACTTGGAGAGCATATGACTAGCCAGGGGAGCCAGCCGCGTCCAAGTGCCACTTAAGAGCAGTCAGGCCAGTGGGCAGAGAGAGAGAGCGTTCATTGGCTGGGTTGGCCTTGAAAGATTTTGACCAGACAGACAGATTGCGTTGGGAACGCGTGCAAGCTTGCTATTCGTCGCCGTCCCAAAAGGAATCTATACGGCAACTGTGATTGGGTGTTCGCAGATGTAGAGAACCGCATCGTTGGGCCCTCGGGATAGTCCACTTCGACGCGAGCTAGCCACAACAGGTTCGACTCTCACGGCGGATGCGAATTTTTCACAATTACAGTAGATTCACTATCTGATAAAATATGTTCGATAACGTAATAAAAGTCATTTTGCGGGAAGTCAGCACACGCGGCGTGCCCCCAAACTATTATAACAGTAAAGTAAGAACCATAAGTAAAAAAAATAGAATTTGGTTGAGAAATTACTATTAACTAGCATAAAAAATTTAATTTTCACAAAAATCTCGAAACTCAGATAATGGCAATATTAAAAGTCACTGATCCAGTGTGAAATATCTGCCTCCCTTGGCCGACTGCACGCCGAAATCTAACACCTCTTGAAGCCACAGAAGGCGAAGCCACGGAGAATAGTCAAGCGCAA